TAACTAATCAGTGCATTAACTCACTGATGAGGTAATAATTTGATGTATTGAGAGATAATGGAAATTTAGAAGGTAGTGCCTAGTTGAAAAGAGTGGGTTATGGAGGTGTGATCTTGGGGACTGTATCTTACCATTATCCCTTCTTTTCTGGCTCTTTTCCTCTGTTTCCCAGCTGCTATGTGAGGTAAACAGCTCTGATCCACCATGTCCTCCTGTCCTACCTTGCCACAGGCCCAAAAGCAGTGGAGTCAGTTTACTATGGACTGGAACTTCTGAAACTGTGAGCTAATGTAAACCTTTCTTTGTGTCAGGCATTTTGTCATAGTGATGAAAAGCTAATAAATGAGGATGTGTCTTTTCTTGTTGCTGAGATAAAATACCTGGTATCCAAAGTTAAAAGAGGAAAGGTCTATTGTAGCTCACAGTTTGTAGAGGTTTTAGTTTACAGTTGACTGGCAGGGTGGCATGAAGAGAGCACTGCAGAGAAACAGTTCATGGTGGGCAGAAGGCAGAAAAAGTGAAATAGTGAAGAAGCCGTGAAGCATCAACAAGTGGCGACAATAGCAACATTCTTTCTGTCCTTAATATTCTAGAGTGGGTAACACTCACACCCAGGATGTGGCACCCTTAATCCTAGCATTGCACTATGAATCAATCCCAGCATCACATCCTTAATCCTAGCATCACACACTCTAGACCCAGCCACCTCCAAAAAGCTTCACCTATAACCACATGATGCTTTAGGAGGACATATGCTAAGTTTTAGGAAGGTTTGTGTTTTCCCAAATGAAACATAACCTTTTCGTTTTCCTTTTTCTTTCCTGGATTATAAATTGAAGACTAGGGGTGGAGTACAAGATAGGAGAGTAGAACAGAAAGATAAAACAGCAAGCATTGCTGAGTATAGGCTTAATTCCTCACACTGCCGACTTCTGGCCTTTTCTCATGTGGGTGAAAAAAGCATCTCTGTGTAGTCAAGCCAGTTTCACATGCAGTTTTTTTATCCAGACACTGCAATTGCATTGACTTTCTCCCTACCTCTTGTATTGCCTCATTTCTTTCTTTTTCCAGGATGCTGCAAGAGTAACTATTCTAGTACAAATAGGTCGTACCACTCCTTGCCAAAGATTGTTCAGTATCTCCCTGTGCCTATTTCATCTTCTATCCTTCCTCTCCCACCTAAATTGACTTTAAGGTAAACTGATGATTTCTTGTCTCAAACAACAAAACAGAAAACTGAAGTGTTTCAATATCATGGAAAAAGAAACTTGAGTCATGAAGGAATTGCCCCTTATAATATCTACTTAGTCTAGTTTTACCTGTACAGATCTGCAAAGCAAAACTGTACAAACTGCACACAATAGATGTTAAAGAGGTACCATTTTTATTTAAAAACTTTTTTAATAAAGATATTTTAAGAGGGTGTGTCAAAAAGCCCTTAGATATTGATTGTAGGGAAGTCTGTTTGTGAAGGCAAAGAGTAATCTCTGTGCTTCCACCCAGTTTTGCTTTGATCCAAACTGCTTTAAGAAAATGAAATTTTTGCAGCTACTGTATGACCAGCAATCCTACCCCTGGATATATAGCCAAAGGAAAATAAATCAGTATGTCAAAGAGACATTTGCATTTCCTTGCTTATTGTAGCATAATACATAATAGCCAAGATATACCTACGTGTCCATTAACTGATGAAGAAAATGTGGTACATATACATAAAATACAACCATTTTAAAAATGAGTGAAATCCTGTCATTTGTTACAATATGGATGTATATGGCAATCATTGTTAAATGAAATAAGCCAGGCACAGAAAGACAAATACTACTTGATCTCTCCCATACAAAGTAGTTGATCTTATAGCAGTTGAAAGTAGAGAGGTGGTTATCAGGGATTGTGAAGAGTAATGGGGGAAGGGATGGACAGAGGGTAATCATTGGGTACCAAGTTACAATTAGTATGCTATTGCACAGCAGGATGACTATAATGATGTCATATGTGTTAGTAAAAGATTTTAAATGATTTCACCTAAAGAAGTGTTGGTAGATTTACAGATTTGAATGATACAAAATGTATATACATATTGAAACATCATATAGTACTCTCACATGTTCAGTTTAGATGTATCAGCATGTGTGCAAAGCTGTGTGTACACACACACACACACACACACACACACACACACACATATTCTAGCTCTGTGTAGAAGTCCTGGGAACAAAGATACCCAGTAGTAATGAGTGTATGAACACTCAGATTCTACTTTATTTTTTACATATTTATCATTTAATATGATCATTGATACAGTTGGATTTAGATGTGACATTGTTGTTTCCTCTGTTCTTTGCGTCTGATTCTTTTGAGTTAATTCAACTTTTAAAATTTAATATATAAAATTGTACATAATACAGTAGTATGTAATATTTAATATATATACACACATTGGGTGGATCTTGCTTTTTAAGCATCATTTTCTATGAAAGGAATCAGGACTCTTTGGACAAAATGGCTTGTCCAAGGATCAAAGCAGAAAATGCATAAAGATGGGGCTGAAAGTATGCAGCTGTTCAAATAATGGCTGACCCTCACAAGCTCATCAAATATATGACAACTTGACCAAATACATGATGATACCAATACATAAATGAGAGAAAACTCTTCCTATAGCAAAATGTCAATACAATAGAGAAGAAATGAAGGAAATAAAAGTCATTTGAAAACTATCAGTAATAATTCAGCTAAGAAAGTTAAAAGCAGAATTAGCACTGGACAGTTTGAATACTGCTTCCATAGAATACTTATATAAAAGTACTAACTGTAAAGAGAAAGGGTACCTTTGGAGGCAGTGGACCTCTTAGCCTTCTGCTATGATGTGCAGAGAAGAGGACAGCATCACCTCTGTGATGTTCAGTCAAAACTGCATGCTCTGAATCTATTAGGAAGCACCATCTAAACTCAAATTGAGGAGCTTCTATAAAACAATAAGCTATAGGCATTAAAAAAAAAGCCATGAAGGTCAAGGAAAAACTAAGAAATGGCTCTGCATTGAATGAAAGTCAAGAAATGTGACAACTAAGAGCAACATGAGATCTTGGTTTTGATTCTCTTGCCTAAAAGACATAATTGGGCAGCTGAAGAAACATGACTGGGGTCTTTGGGTGAAGGGTATGTAGGAATTATTTATGGTGATCTTGTAACATTTTTCTAAGTGTGAAATTATTTAAAAAGACCCAAAAGTAACAATTAAATTTGTTCAAAAACTTTTATTTACTATAAAGACAAAAACACCAAAATAGGTACAAATACTATAAAATTGGTTCAATGGGGTAAAAATTTTAATTAAAATATCTCAATATATTTAAAATAACAAAGGATACATTTAAGCCAAATTTTTTTAACCCAGAGATTTTTTTTTTTCCTTTTTTTAACATTTGCTTACACAGTAAGGTGCTACTAGAAGTTAGCCCTTAAGCCCTGGAAGTCTTAGGAATCATAGTCACACAGCAAATATAATTTCATTGTGAAAGTGAACTTTGGTAGAAGAAAAATCTATAGGACACCTGAGGTAGTAGAAACTGGAATAAACAGCAGTAGACATTATTTACAATTTGAGTACCAAATAACATTAAGAACACAAAAATAATTACACAATACAATTTTCAGTCCAGCTTTGATCCAAAGAAAATAAGAATATTACATCACATTTGCATTGAAAACAAAACAAAAAACAAAACACAATTACCAGCAAGCTGAGGGAACTGCAAACAAACTCAAACACAATGGATTTTGACATCTAGAGACAGTTTGAGTTTGAAATGTGGTGGGCATGGTGATCTACAAAGTAATACTGATTAGCTGAGGTTCCTCAGTTTATACAGTTTACATTTTTGTCAGATGCCATATTAATCTGACCAATGATTTTCCAGTACATAAAATGGCAAGAGTGCGTCCTTTAAAGCTTGCGCATGAGAGACTTGGAAATAATCTTATTAGAACTGTGAAAATTCTAAGTAGTCAAAAAAAGTCAAGTACAACACATTTAGAACTACCAAACTTCACATTTCTGTACTACTTTTAACTCTTCGAATATTGCCAATCTTCCAAAACAAAGGAATGTAAAATTTCACTAAGAAACACAATCACATAAAAAAACTGCTTTTAAAAAATTATATGCAATATATCCCTGTAAACTTCTCCTGTAACTTATTTTACTTCCAAATTGTGTTGTACATTTTAAATGTACTCAATATAGCTTATTTAGTTTATCCTGAGTCTTTGAGAGTAACCAATTCTATTTCACACTGGCATCTGAAGAGTTAAAACTTAACATCTCAAAGATATATTTAATAATCAGTACTTGATTTTAAAAGACTCACACAACAAAAAAAAAGATAAAAGAGCTACCATTTTCCTCCAGGATTCCATGCATCTGAATTCAACTCCAGACAAACCATTAAAAAACTGTGCAATATCCAAAGAATTGATATGTAAATGAAACTCAATTTCATTTTTTTTCTGAACATCTTTTCTAAGTTCAAAGCAAATTTATTGTTAAAAATATTACTGATTTGTACTTGAATATATTAACTTTAATTATCTATCAGGAAGGTCTAGTGTAAAAAGATGATGCATGGTAGAAGGAAAATAGTTACTTGTTATACTCAATGGTAATGGTGAGTGATGGATTGTTACATATACAGTAAGACTTAAATGGTGTGAAGTTTCCTACACTTTAGCAAAGAAACTGACATATTAAAAAATTCAAAACAAGTTTCAAGGTAATCTTGCACTTGGTTGTGAGCAATATCACAAAAGATAGTTGATTTTGTTAATTCATATTTAATCTGCCCAGCAAGAACAGTGACTCATTTAACGTAGGCAGTACTTTATTGTATTCCAATTTTAAAAAATTAAATCTGTATTTAAAAAACTCTTGCAGTAGCAAGATAATATAATAAAATATAGTTCACACCTACTTCTATTTTTTTTTCTAGTTTGAAAAGATCACCTTTCCCTGAATATTAAACAAAAATGGAGGTGTAATGAAAATACAGAACCATAATTTCCAAAAACGAAATGAATGGGCCAACAGTAAAATGCACAATGAATCACAACTGCCAGACATTAAAAAAATAAAGGTCAACGGTGGGTCATGAAGTCATCACCTTTAAAAAATATATGTATTTACTGCTACTTATAGCATACTCTGACCTAAAAGAGGCAAATATTGATTTTCATAGCCAGTGACCAAAAAACTGAACGGAATTACAGAACCCTCTACTTGTGATCACTAAAAGAAATAGAATAATTGAAACATTAAAACAGATCCTGAGCCCCTCAGCTGCTAATATTGCTGAAAAAGTGCTCCAAAAATATTATGCTTCTGTTATTTAGTCATGCAAACTTCAATGCTTTCCTATTTACCTAGGGCCAGTTCTTTGAAAGGCACGGTTTACATTTTCTGCACAAGTTGTAGACTTTTGCATACTGAGCTTAGGTACAGATCATGATTTGTCAATCACATACTTAGGTAAGGGTTCCCCACTGGCCTTATCATAGCTGTTCAGTGGTATGACGGCCAGCAGATTATCAATGTGGTTCCCCACAAAAGTTTTTTTTTTTAATTGTTGAGCATCCAGTCTCTATTACAGTTTTTTTTTTTTAATTGGCTACCATGTAGTACGGAAGACTGGATGCTTCAGTAGCTCTCTTGATGGCGGTCTGTCCTGAGGTTGAAGTTCTAAACAACGAAGAGCCACATCACGTAAACCAGGAGACAGATGTGAAGGGATCGATGGAGCAGTAGTTGCACTAGCTATCTGCAGGACAAAAAGCCAGAGCATTGGAGCTTTCCACAAATACAGCTGAATACAGTTGAACATGTGCAAGTAATACATAACCTTTACCAGTCTGTATCTGTGCACTACACTCATTTTTCCTTCAATAATGCACAAATCTTAATTCTTAATATCAAACACTACAAAGAACTGACTTTAATAAACAGGTTACAAATGAATCTTAAAAATGCAAAGTGATACAAAGGAAAATATTAAGAAGTCTGTAATCCTATACTAAGATATACTTAGTTGACACATATACATCTTACCACAAAAGAAAAAAATTATACTTTTTCTAGGTTTCCCCAAATGTAATCATTCAGCACTAACAATTTGTGTTTCCTTTGTAGGTTTAAAAAAAAAAAAAGGCTACCATATTCACACCACACTTTCTTTACAAAATGCCTACAAATGGAATCACTTTAAATACCTTGCTATTTTCAGTTATTCATATATTGTAGCAATAACACACAATAGAGACTAAAGAGAAGTGACTGAGAAAGTTATAAAAATGTGGGGAAAACTAAGGAAGGTGAGTGCTGGTAGGCGACTGTGGGCTAAATGCTGGACTAAAGCCTAGAGGTAATTCTGCTTATATTCATAACAATCCTATGAACCAGGTGCTATTACTGCATCCATTTTGCACATGTGAAAAGAAATAGACACAGAAAGTAATTTTCCTAAGGTCACCTGGCCAATTAAGAGTAGAGCAAGGGTTTGAAATCAGGCTTGTATGATTACAAAACCCATACTTTTAATCATCACACGTCTACTCAAAAGCTAAAAATCTCAACTATTACACTAATCTATGGTGGAAATGAGATAGTAAATTTGACAGCTGTAAAAAGGTAAACAGGATTTGGCAAGTGATATGGTAAAGTTTTAAATAATAGGAAATCAGATTTTTAAAAAATTATGCAATATGAAGAGCTTCAAGTTTCCAAAATTATATGTATATACATTATACATACATATATACACAAATATATTTATTGCACACATACATATATACACATCTATGTTATACACACACATATATGAAATACATGTATGGGTATATATACATATGCACACATACATTTTGCCTGGAAGTTATGTCTCAATATTTGCTAATTCATTGTTTTAAAGACTTTGTAAACCTTAACTGCCTAGAATAGTGAGAAGTGACAGTAAATGCCACCAATAGTGACAACACAATTATAAATTCATATTTATAATTATTTATTTCAAGATGTATTTTTGTTAGATTGATAGGAGAGAACCTATGAGAATTTGACAACTGACAAATTTAGCACAAAAATAAAATTTTTATCTCAAAATTACCTTAAATATCAAAGCAAGATGGTTGGAGTGTTTTTCTGCATTCCAAGGTGGTTTTGCACAAGCCATTTCTATAATAGCACAGCCAACACTCCATACATCACAGCTCCTACCATACTGCTGACCTCTTAGTACCTAAAATAAAGCAGAGTTAATGTGGAAATGACTCACTTAAGAGAGCCATTTTATAGTTATGGATTCTAATTTTTCTGCTTCAGAGCAAAATAATGGTACAAGTAACAATTACTTGGCCTACTTAATATCTCATTAATAAGCTTCCATCTGGCACAAAGATAAACCTTACAGAATTCCAAACTGACTCCAGTGTTCTTAGGAAAACTATGAGGCAAACAGATAGCAAATAATCACTATACAAGAACATGAAGAGCCACGAAGAGAGGCCAAGTTCAGAAGAGCAATGCTTTGTTAGATTGTACTGCTGACAAGGCCTGCCTCTGTGGGCTCACCTCCCTTTGGAATAGAGAGATAATTTTTAATGTTTTTATTGTGTGCACTTTGAGTTTACTATGAAACAACTATTATACCAAACAGTGTTTGTGGTTAGAAATAGCCTTTAAGCAAATCTGTTAAAGGCTATCTTTTGGAATTATATTAAGACAGATAAAAAGCCTGGGAATAAGGGTCTGAAGTACTGCATACTACTGTGAAATAATGCTGTCACAGAACTCCATAATACTTTCATTACACTCAAAACTACTTCTCACCTCAGGTGCCATAAATGCAATTGTTCCCAATAACTGTCCCTGAAACTCTCCTGCACCAGTTCCTTTTGACGCCAACCTGGCTGCAGCTCCAAAATCTGCAATTCTCAGCCTCTGACCTGTGCTGTCAATTAGCAAATTGGCACCTGTCAACAGAAACAGCAAATGACCTTGTATGTTAAAAACAAAAGGAGAGATTAAAAGCCCAGAAAATTTCCACTAATGGAATAGGATGGTGATGAAACAAAGAAGTAAACTATATCAGAGCTTCGGAGAGGACTACTTTCTCTTTCCTTCACATAATTATTGATAAGGGCATACTGGGTTCCATAGTGTGAATAAAATCTAAAGCCCCAGAGGGAAAGTCTGAAAAACAGTCGTAAGGCATAGCAAGAAAAGGGCACAGACTTGGTCCAATTTTAACTGAAAACCTCAGTAGTATAATAATTTCCAACAAAGCCTTTCTTCAAAATTCAAATTTTAGTATAATTTATATTTTGAGATAACACAGTGACCCAGGCTAATTCAAAGTATATGCTTATTTCAAAATTACAGCTAATAAAAATCTTATAAAGTACTTCAATACATTTTCAAACACTAATTAAAGACTCATGACACAAAACCAAAAGATGCCACTAATAAGAATAAACTGAACTTATATGAAAGGATTTTTCTTAATAGAAGTTTAGGCTATCCCAATTAATCTAAATAAAACCCAAAATAGGAGCTTTCTGGGAGTCAGCACATCATGAAGCCAAGAAAAAAATTTAAGAGACCTGCTTTCTATATTTTGCTATGAAACAGTAGTAAAACTGTGGTAAAGTTATAGCTTTTCTTGTATTGAAATACTTTTTGAAAGTACAAATTAAATGTTAAAGACAGATTAAATGGAGCCCCAAAGGCTCCTTTTAGTTTTAATATGCTAGTGATTTGAGTTTTTCAGAGAAATAAACTGTCAACAAATGTCCAAGTTAAAAAATTACATTTATTTTCTTATGGTCACTAGAAAATAATTAAAATAATTTTTACCTTTGACATCTCTGTGAATGATCTGGTTTTCATGAAGATATGAAAGGCCACGTAGTAACTGTTCAGTATAGTTAATAACTACTGATTCCTTGAAGGCTCCATATTTACTCAGCAGATGAGCCACAGATCCTCCTATACAATAAATACAAAATAGAAATAATTATCATAAACTTAGGTCAGAATTAAAATTATTTATTACACTTTGGTTTCTTAAGCTTGCACTGCATGAGCTAACATTCATGTCTGAAAGGTTAAATTCATACTCTACATTAGGAGTGAAACCGATTTTTGTATCATCTCAAAAGCCTATCATTTATTAGACATTTTTACAAAACCCTCATGAAACTAGTTTACCAGAGGATCATAATTTCAGAAAGCTTTAAAAGTTAACAGGAACTATTTCTGAATGTACATTTCACTCTTCTCAATAAAAATATACAAAATGCCTTTATTATTGACTTACATAAACAATGTTAATATATTATTTAGCAGAAAGTAAAAAGACTGAGAGACGAGCCAGTGGGAGTTAAGCTTCACATCCTACCATGTACTAACTTCACCCCGGAACAAGTCACTAACTCAATGAATTCAATTTAAAAGGTGTTATAATAGTCAACCTATCTATATCCTCATGAAGATGAACAACAGATAATATACTTAAGAACTGATAAGTAAATAGAAATACATTCTTAAAATATACACAAATTTAGAAATTTAAAGCAATCTATGCATCACAATGTTGTTCTTTTTTTTTTTTGGTACTGATGACTGAACTCAGGACCCTGAGCTTGAGAGGCAGGTGGCAGCACCACTGAACTAAATCCCAGCCCTATGCATCAAAATCTTGATTTGCTTTTAGAAATCCAAACTATTTTTTTTTAAAAGTTTTCATTAAACTGTTCAAATTATTTAAAAAAATTAAATGCTCACTGAATTGTTTCCCTTAAATTTAATAAGCAGAAAGTTAAGTCCATGTACTGTTATTTGTAATTTAAAACATGAACATACCTGCCATCCATTCGATGAAGAGATTGTAATTGCTCTTCTCACATGTGGCTCCCAACATCCTAATGATGTTTGGATGGTTTAGATGGCTCATCATTCTTATCTCTTCTCTTAATGCCTCCACTACTTCTTCTTGCTCAGAAGATGTGTTTCTGACATATGTCACCTATTTCAAATAAACATGTTCACAAAGGTTTAAATTCTGAAAAATTCACAAAAAAATCCCTGACCTAAATGGTTAAATCTAAATTAGCTTATACATTAATAGCAAACCACAATGATATTCATGGCTACAATGTATTTTATTTAAAAAGAAGAATCCAGCTCATGCAGCAGTGAAATATTAAAAAAAAAAAAAAGCCAAAAAATTGGGAGACAGTCATAAGTTAAAAAACGAGTAAAAATGAGAAGAACCCAATCATGGGAAAACAATCAGTATGATTTCAAACCACCGAAACCAAGATGGCACTGTACCACTACACCGTCAATGGGAGTATGAAACCATACCTCTCTTAACTATAAAAATCAGAAACAAGTGAACCTCAAACATCTGTAGGCTCACCTTGACATTGTGGGTTTTTTTTTTTTTTTTTTGTGGTACTCTGGTAAATCTACTTTGAAATTTAGGAATCTCAAAAGAACAAAAGTACAGAAGTTTATAGGGATTTCCCTTATTCTTTTTATTTACACATACTTCATTTTATAATTTGAATAATTTCATTATGTATTCATTAGATATTTACCTGTTTAACAGCCATTAACGTTCCGGTTCCCACATCCTGTGCTTGATAACAAGAAGAAAATGCTCCAAGGCCTATCTGTTGGCCTTTCAGCCATTCGGTGTCTTCTCTATAAGGTTGTTTTGCTTTGGTATGTCCTGGTAGAGTCTCTGGTGTCTACATATTAAATGAAAGCAAACTTTTTACTGTTAAATTAATAGAGCAAGATTTTGTGAAATTAGACTGGCAAAGCATTAATCTTGTTTAATCTGGTTTCCCGAACCACCTATAAATCAGGCCTCTGAAAGGATTACATTGGTAACTAATCACTATTATAGAATCAATAAGAAATGTTTTTGAAATAGGCCAGGAGTACTGTTGTTTAAAAGATACAAACAAATGGGAAGAAAGGGGCTAAAGGTGTAGGGAAGGTGGGATGGATAGGGGAAGCGTAATAAGGGAAAAGAAAAAAATGTGAGATAAAGAAAAGATGGAAATAAAGTGCTGGTAGATGGGGAGGGGAGGAGGGGGTGAAGGGAGGGCAGGGACAAGGGGAAAAAATGAGAACCAAGACCTGTCATGTAGAGGTACAAGATCCCAACAATGAATGTAACTGTACTGTATCCCTAAAATGTACCAATAAACTCAATTAAAGCTGAAAAAAAAAGATACAAACATTACTGCTGAATAATTACAAGGAAAACTTGATTGCAATGAATCTCTTGTCTTAAAGCAGCATTTCTGACTTAGATCTTAGCATGGTTTAAGGAAATTATAACTCTTAAAAGACTTTACTTACATCCTGTTGAATAATGATGATGTCTTCTCCATTTTCAACCTGTAGTTGAGGAACTACAGGGAGGGCATCCTGAGATGCTGACATTGCCATGGCAATTGCTAAAGCTTCTTCTTCTTCAGCTTCCATCTTTTCTTTGCACTTCTGATTATGATTCACATCATCTTTGTAGGTTTCATCATTTTCAGCCTTTTCAGGAGAGAGAACAGCAACTTCTGACTTAAAAGTGACTGTTGTGTCACTTGAAGGCATAGATGCTTCAAGAAGGTCCTCGATACTGGAGTTGAGCTCTGTATTGACATCTAATCTGCATTTTTCCTCTACTGGGGTGAACACTGTCTCATCACTGGGTATAACTGCATTACTACTGCTGCTGCTACTGCCAAAGCTGTCATCACATTTGGAAGTACTGTTCAGATCAAGTGTCATGCTATTTTTTAAGGCATCTCCCGGTTTACTTGTATTACCTGGGGTAGGTCGAGATGGCTTTGGCCTGTGTATGTTGCTGGAGGGCAAGGGTCTTGATTGAGTGAAGATAGGGGAAAGTTTGTCTGAGTCTTTGTTTTCAGAACAGTTTCTCTGGAATTGTAGGGAAAACTTGCGCTGTGTTTGAGGAGATGCAGAAGGTATTTTGCAGGGAATGAAACCCTGAGGTCTATGCTTGGAGACATCTGTTACAGAGCCAGCTGCTACAGATGGAGCAGATGAAGAAGGGGTTGGCAAGGCTGCAAATGTTTGTTGGGAATGATGAGATAAAAGAGAGGAGTTCAAACACTGACTGTGGGGTCTGCCTTTTGTTTGAACCATTGGCTTTGGTTGTTCTGTTGTGGCTGAACTAGGAAGTCCTATTGAAATGCTGGCCAATCTGTCAGAAATGTCCTCTGAACTGTCATTCATTTTTGTAGCACATAATCCTTTTCCAGTTTTGTCTAAATGGACTGTGTGCTCCAGGGAACTTTTCTCTGTGGCTTCTGGATAGCTATTATGGGCAGATGCCTGCAAAAAACTGTCTTGTTGACCATCCAAAGTGTCTTCCATGCCCAGCTGTATGGCCTCAGCAATTTCCACTTCATCGGCAATAGCCATCAGACGACGACGCATCCTGGTGAAGTGAGTAGAACTGGAAATACTCAGCATTTCTAACAGTTTTGAAAACACATGGGGTACTGCAGTCACCATTCTCGCAGAACTCAAATATATCCTTCGAGAGAGTTTACCAACCATTGAGTGGGAATTATCAATGGACTGCAAAGCAAATGTCAAGAGGGACAGCAGCTTTTTATACCTGAAAGAAAAAAACACGTTCAGTTACTAGACAAGTTCAAATTATTGAAGGATGTATGTATATTTAAAAAGGTGGCTGTTTTAACTCTACACTTCAAAAAGCATTTTGGTATGAAGGACCTATACATTTTTAATTACATAGTGTAGACTTAAGGTTTTTATGCCAATCAAATTAAGGTATTATCAACTTCTCTATGCTTTTTGATTTCAGACTTTCATAAATCTAAAATGTGTTATTCTTGGGGAGGATTTGAGGTGGGTAGCAAGAGGAAAGCAATGTATTTCCAGAATAAAAATCACCTGATTTCAACAGGCTCAGCTTGTGAAACATCAGTACTGACAATATGAGGATAAAATTCAGCAGGAAATTCCAACAATAGTCTATCCATTAGACAAAGGCGACCCAAGAGTTCTTGCCAGTTGTTTGACTCAATTTGATTTCCAAGAATACAATTTAAGACATAATCAACACCACCAATACCAATGGATCCTACAAAAGGAATGTAAGAAATAAATGATTTAAAAATAAACTCTAAAAACATGATGAAATGGTGCAAAGTCAACAAAAATTCTCTGGATTATTTTAGTTTTTAAGATTTTCTGTTAGATTAATTCATATTTCTAAACACAGCTAAATCAATTTACAAGATTACTTGAAATTCCTATAACTGCCCCAATGAAATATTATGAGACTAGGTAGTCTAAGGGACAGAATATGCTATGTAATTTTTAAGTAAAAAGTTATTACCAGCTTTAAGTATTTCTCTACCAACTGCCAACTCTCCTGCTTGGCCTTTGCATAATTCCAGCAGTGTTGATATGGACAGCTGACTTGTGCGGCTAAAAATAAAAGGAAGTCAACATTAATTCTGGATCAATTATAAGTGATACATCAATATTGCCGCAGCAATGTAAGTTTTTGAGAAAGTGGAAAAATAATGTTTTCAAGAGTTATTACAGACTGTGTCTAGATGTCCCCACAAAGCCTCATTGGTCATAGGTGGAGCTTTTCAGATGCGGCTAGATCTAGAACATGTAATGCTGGAATTAAGGGTGTGTGATTACTAAATTAGTCCACTGATTTGTGTGACATAGTTCTAGGTGTGTATAATGGGAAGGCCCACCTTGAGTGTGAGTGCTACCTGCCTAAAAGCCCTGTAGCCTACATAAAATATAAAAGACAGAAGGACTAATACAGGTTATTGCTTGCTGCTGCTTCACTACTTCACTGCTTTAATGCCTTCTGCCTACCATGAACTATTTCTCCGCTGCTGCACCACCATATTTTGGAGCCAGCCAACTACGAACTGAAACCTCTACACACTGTGAGCTACAAAAAACCTTTCGTCCTTTATCTTTGGGTGTTGGGTGTTTTTTCTCAGCAGGAAAAGTAACTAAGACAGGAGTACTTACTTTTTCATAGTTTAAAGTAACATTAACAATGTCACTATAAATAATATTTATTATTAAGTCTAATTTTTAAAATTTATCTTATCTGTATTAAACACAGAATCTTCAGGACTGGCTCTTAGGCAAGTAGTGATCTAAATATCAAATTGGATAAAAGGCTAATTTGTATTATTATATCTTGTTAAAAAAGATTCTGACATTATTTCTGAACTTTTAGTAAGAATCTTTTGCATTCAAAACAAGACTTTGTCATCCAAAATGCTTATACTCTCTTATGTTCTTAAGAATGAGTTCCAAATATCATAAATTTCTTATGGTTTCAATTATTCAAGCCACCAGGTAAACAGTATAACTTTAGAATTTCAGAAAGTGGGTGATACAACAAATGTCATGAAAACACTGAAATTTTCAAAAAATTCCCTATTTTATAATTTTAAAATGACATGATTTTTCTTACACATTTTATAAAATGTTAATTTGCCAATGTTTTCTAGATACTATGTTTTCTCTATGCAACAAGAAAACCTCCAGTATTTTTGATTTGTAGACTTAGGTAAAGAAAAAAAACAGAGCAAAAAAAAAAAAAAGGCTTCATGAGATCAGAATTAGTCAAAGCTAGGTACCTAAATATTGAGAACTTTTGCAAACTAACACTTATGGCCTAGGGAGGAAAAGAGATTGGATTACGAGAGCTCTGAATGGGTACAACAGCAAAGACTCAGTGCTTCTTGCCAATGAAGAGCTGCTGAGAAGTAAATAGTTCGGGACTGCCAAACAACTATTAACTATACATATGCTTATTAAACAAAAAAATGAACTTTCATCCTTCTTTATGGAAGGAGAAAATCAAAAGAGAACCAGTGGTCTAAAAAAAGTATGGTTTGTGCTAAAGCTCATACATCTCTACTTCCTATCTCCCCTCCTCCGCTGTTAGGATTATTACTGTTTCTTATCTAATTTTAAGGACATTACAGGATAGGAAAATTTTAAATAACTTTAAAACTATCATAATTAGAATAAAATTGAAAACAAGAATGGAGTTCTTTTTGGATTATGGTAATAAGGCATAAGCAGATGTAACAGATGTTATGATGTTGAAATTATATCTTATGGTTATGCCAGCTATTATTCTTATCAACTGGACTTCAGATTAAGTATGTTGTTTAACAGAATCAAGCACAATACAATTATGTGCTGTTTTGCCGGGGATTTAGCTCAGCGGTTCTGCTGCCTGCCTTGCAAGCACAAGGACCTGAGTTCAATCCCCGGTACAAAAAAAAAAAAAAAAAAAAAAAAAAAAAAAAAAACCCCCTAAATTTATATGTGTTTGCTAAAAAAAAAAAAAAAAAAAAAAAAACAACAAAAAAAATCACCCCTTCAATTATGTGCTGTTTCATGCAGTTTTATAGTCTGACTTTTACTTGGTGTTAGTTCCTATCCTTAGTCCTTAAGTGCTCAATATTCTGTGTTTTAATTTCAAATCTATTAGACAAAAATGAAGACACATTTAACAAAATGTATTAATTAATCCCTAGATGTGAAGCTTGTGCTAGGCACTTTTAATTCAAGATAGTTTGAAGTGGTGCATCATTAAGGCCTTACCTATTGGCATCTGCACACTTGACTAGGATGGTGTCTACAACTGGCCGGAGAAGTCTCTGAAGTTTGATTCTTTCTGCTAAACTGTGGCAAGGAGTATATACCAGCATGGCTCTCATTGTTTTCTGGGGAGAAAAAAACTGAAGGTCAGCTTACTTTTTTTTTTGATACCAAGGATTGAACTCAGGACTTTGCACTTGGGAGGCAGGCCGCGGCAGCACCACTGAGCTGAATCCGTGGCCGAAGATCAGCTTACTTTTAAAAAGTATCAGAGGCAATGTCCAATCTGAGACAATATGAACCAAAAATGAAAAGAATGGATTATAAGGTGGTATTAGAGATATTTAAGAAATGATAGGTGCTACATAGTCAATGTTCTTATAATGTACTAAGAATTATGATTTAGAGGTTCTATACAATGTAATTTCAAATCTAACAGGTAAGTATTATTATTTTATAGGTGAGTAAAGTTTTAACAACAGTTAAGTAACTTTGTTAAAGTCACACTGCAAATGGGAAAACTAGAATTAGTATCTGGTCCCCCTAATCCACCACATGTTCAGAATGCCTTGGCTACTCCTAGTATAACTAGTATATTTTTCCAGTTGGAATACTTGCTAATTATGAGACCACTCGATTCTGACCCCAAACCTATATTCATATCATCCTGATTAATTCATAAGAAGTTTATTAGGCAAAACCGCTAGGGAGAGGATTTGAAAAAATTGTTATGAGCGTTAGCTTGGCTTTTTAATTTTTAAAAAGATTAGATAACAATTATTTTAAAGCAGTGATTTTAAACTGGGGGCAACTGTGAGGTCCAGGGATCATCTGGCAATGTCTAGAGACATTCTTGGCTGTCGTGACTTTAGGCTAAGTGGGTAGAAGGATGAGGGTGGGTTTGCTACTGATTTCTAATACAAACCATAGATTCTGTTAAATATCCTACTGTGCATAGAACAGTAGTACTCCTAGTGCCCTTCCAACCGCAAGTCATTTCTGGCCAATGACAGTAGTGCTGAAGTTGTCAATAGTAGTCTAAAGAGATACACATTAAGACTGGAGAAGGTCTCATTAGTCTCCAAAATTACCTCTTTGTCATTTTCTACCACTCATGAGAGACAATTTCCAACATGGTAATCTGGAAAAACCTCAGTGTCTATGTTATGGACCCCTCGCCATACAATGTTTATTAAAAATCAAGCAAGGGCTGGGGATTTAGCTCAGTGGTGCCACTGCCTCCCTCACAAGTAAGTGCAAGATCCTGAGTTCATTCCCCAGTATAAAAAAAAAAGTAAGCAAGATGATTACTAAAAATAAATCCTCAATGTCTACTGACATCAAGTTTAAAAAATCAAGTAAGTTTGATCACTTTTCTATCCTATAAAGTATTTTTAGGTTGGTCATATGTGGGTTACTTTTCAGGGAAATATATGAATAGTATTACACATCTGCTTGAGGGAAATAAACAGTATATAAGAAAACTTGAATAGACTAAAGTCAGTAAATTAAAATGTTTAAATGGGAAATTGCAATTTCCTAGGATTATATGGAATAAGAATAAAATTTCAACTTTCCAAAATTACATTAAGTAGCTTTATTGTATCTTAAAAACAGTATCAACAAACCACAAAAAAGAAACTGCACAATGATATCATTAATGGAAAAAAACTACTTACTAAAGCAGCAACGTACACTTTGTAGACAGGGTCAGCACAGACCATTGACAAGACGCTGCAGCATGCCTCTACCACGTCTCCTGAGATGCTGCTCTGGGAGGACCCACTGGTGGCTCCAGCACTTGGGCTGCTTACACCACTGCCCCCAGAATTTCCAGTGCTCTCCCCATTTGCCAACAGCAGGGCCCCACTAACATCATGGGAAAGACGCCTGAGGGCCATCTCTCTTACATTCCAGTTTCTAGAAAATAAGCAGCCAACGAGTTCCATTCCAAACACCTATATCAAACAAATACAATAAGAAGAAAAACTAATGACCTAGAGACAAATACAATAAGAAAATCTAATGACCCAGAGTATATTGTTAAGCACAATGTTTAATTATTTAAAAAAAACCTGGTTGGGCCAGGGATTTAGCTCATTGGTGCCGCCGCCTGCCTCCCAAGTGCAAGGACCCTAGTTTGATCCCTGGTACCAAACAAAAAACCAAAAAAACCCAGTAATTTCTTAATTCTTTACTATTTATTTTCAAATATGTTCAGCCACTTAAAACTCATGAGACATTTTATATGTAAGTCTGTTATTTATCAAAAGTTGTGAACATTTATTATCTCAAGGAAAATTAAAAGTAAACTCTACCAACTAGATATATACACATATGTTTTTATGCCTGTGTCCCTCATATTTGCCCAAAACAACCATCCAACCCAGAAACAACTGTGAACAACTCCTTATATTTACGTTAGGGTAGTTTTTAGAAAAAAAACTGGACCAAGATTTAAAAAAAAAAGCCAAATCAAGAAAGGCCCTAGAATGGAGGGTTTAAAACATACTGACAAGGCCTAGTGTGGTGGTATATAATCCTAGCACTTGGGAAGTTGAGTTCAAGGCCATTCTGGGCTACATGATAAGTTCAAGATTAGGCTGGACAGTAAGACCCTGTCTCAAAAACAAACAATGACAAAACAAAAGCAAATTGTTTTGGTTAGATAGGGTAGTGAGTCATCAGGCAATTGACGCTGACAAGTTCTAGTTTGTGCTTTGAATACCAAATAAACAATGGGACAAAACTTTTATGTCAAAATGCATTGTAATGGGCCCAGGGATTTAGCTCAGTGTGCTGCCACCTGCCTTGCAAGAGTAACCTAGGTCCTGAGTTTGATCCCTGGTACCCTCCAAAAAAAATGCATCGAGTATCAAACTCAGTAAGTTTCAAAGCAATTGAGTACTGAGGTCTGACTATATAATACAGTCCAAAATGAAGCATAAGCAAACAAACTGTCCTTGAAAGAAGGGTACCTAGTAGCTGAGAATCAACTTGAGAGTTCCTTGAGGGTTCCAGAATGAGTGGGTGAGGGCTTATGTTAAATGCCTTTAATGAACTAGATAAAAGAATTAAGATACGCTTATTAGTTTTGTGGATTCTATTAGACACTTAGTGGTTTGTTAATCTGAGAGAATCCCAAAGTTATAGGGTTGTAATGGTCACACAAAAGAACCAAATTCCAATGATTTAGAAGCTTAATGAGTATCTGTTGACAAACAATAGTATTCAATGTAATTTAACAGATTATCATGGATAATTATTCTACTTCATTACTGTCTATTGGAGACACTGTTTAGTTTCGGATCTTATATTTTTAAAGCAGAAAAATACCAAAAGTAGAATAAAAAATTTGAATGGACTAAGAATCATGATGGATATTTTCTCAAATTATAAAAAACTGATGGAAGGGCACAGATACATTAACTAGTCTACAAATGTCTTAAGATATGAAGAACGAAGAACTACTTACTTGAATCCATGGCTCAGCTAAATCTTTATATGCAGGAGGGATCTGCTGAGTTCCATAATGAGTAAGGTTAAAGCTGGTCTCTTGATTCCTTCTCTGTGATCCAGCCAGAGGCTGCTGCTGTGTGGTTTGCTGTTGTACAGCTCGCAGGGAGGGTGGGGAATCTACAGGGCTTGACAACTCGTGGCTATGAAAAATAATAAAATTTGCTAAGAAATGTTAACAAATATAAAACACTTTAAAAACATCTTTGTTTTTTATTAAACAAACAAATCATAAATTCAAAATGATTACCTGTAGAAATCATGGGATCTCCACTTAGACCTACAAAGAGGACATATTAAAGGTTCTCTATTTCTTCTACATTCTTCTGCCCCTGTAAAATTAAAGAAAAAAAACTTACAAAAATGTAAATGTTATTATTAAATACATTTATGTCATAACTGTTTACAATGGTTAGGATTTATATGGAAGGAAACTTGAACAATAATTTGATAGAATATTTATCTGAAAGCAGACAAACACTGCATTTTAAGTTGTTATGATACTTTTCCCTTTTGCAAACCATATTGTATTTTATCAGTTATGAGAAGATCCACTTTACTATCTGTTCAAATGTTCTTTCCCTCACTTCTAGCCTTGTTTTGTTCCTTCCCTCTCTGTAAAGCCCTGCCTAGGTCTTCTTCCTTCCCACCATGAATACCTTCCAGGTAGGAGTTAAAACTTTGTGCACTCCTTCCATTTCCATGTGAATCATACTATATTGCATTGTCTTTGCTTACAAAGATTATCTCCTAATAGATCCTAAACTCCGATTTGTTGAAAACTATACAGGGCTTCCACAGATTCTTTCCCCTGCTCTCACCAATCTCCCTACAAACCATGTCACCGCCCCCATCAGTTAGTTATGGAGCAAATGTATTGAATAGCACAGGGAGAAAAGGAGCCACCTACAGATGGACATGCAATGGTGGTGCAGCTTGTTCCTGCAGCCATCTTCACACACTGTAAGACTTTCTTCATCAAGCATGCCCAGTAAACATATTGGACACATTTGTTCCTCTTCATCTTTTATGCTACAAGGAAGAAAAAGCAAAGTAATAACTATAAAAGAAAATAAAACAGAATATTTTATGCTAATTAGAATTACAAAGCTTTAGAATACGAACATATTAAACAGAAATTCTTAAGATCTATTAACTATTTGAGGGATACTTTTTTCTCTTAATATATGTAGTAATTTCAAATCAGATTCATGTATATTTATAGGTTGTGTATCTAAACCTGTTTTTACTATAATTACAATTCAACACATGAACTGAAATCCATGCAAAAGTATCTATGTCCCTAAAATTCTGTTACTGTACCTTCTGAATAAGATTTGACTATGGATAAATACACTACATGGTATCAGTTTCAAGATTTGAAGTACTGGGACCTTAGAGCATACCTATTCCAAATCCTAAATTTGGACCAGCAGCAGTAAACTGGTCCAACTTTCTTACAATCTAGAAACATATCAATTTTAAATGTGTATAACCATTCTCCTAAAATTCTAGGAACATATAAGAAATGAGACAAAAAGATATGTATGTGAATGTTCACTGATATATTAATTTATATAATGAAAAAAACACCAAATGAACATCAAAAAGAAATTTAAAAATTATAGTACACCAGACATTATGAGCCTTTGAAGAGAAATGAAGAGATCAATACAGATGTTCACAATATATTATAGGGTGAACAAAACCTAAACAAAACCTAGACAACATGTTAAATTCCTAACATTTATAAAATGATTCCATTTAGGTCAAAATATGGCAGAACTGTAACAAAGTGGGCAATTTTATTGTACATATTTGAATATTCCTAATGTACAAGGTACTTCTCAAAAATCAGTAAAAGATAAGAACAATTCAATTATAAAATGGACAAAAGAAAAAATTAAAAAATAACAGCTAAACGTGTAAAGAAGTTATTAAATATAAAACTACATCTATCTTTTTTTGGGGACATTCTGATTGTCAAAAACTTATCCTGGTAACATCCGACCCTGATAATGAGACAGAAAAACAGGTTCTCATTATATTTGTGATGGGAATAAAACCTGAAATTTCTAGAAGGTAATTTTGTTAGTAATCTTTAAAATACTAAATGTACAGATTCATGACCTAAAAATTCTATTTTCTAGGCTGCTAAACTACAGAAATATTATTAGTATGCAGACAAAAATAGAAAAAATTGTTGCATTTAATAAGCAAACAAAAAACTAAAGGTATATTTAATATTCATTAATTAAAGTAATGGTGAAACAATATACAGCCATAAAAAGGAGTGTTTGTATTAACTTAGGAAAATGTTATTGATATATAAAATAAAATAAAATAAAAATAAAAGCAAGTTGCACCAGAATTCTGGAAGGATGAGGCAGGAAGACAGAAAGTTTGAGCCCTGCCTGGGCAACTTGGGTGACTTAGCAAGACTATCTCAAAATTTAAAAAAAGAGCTGGGGGTGTAGCTCAGTGCACAGGCCCTGAATTCAATCCCTTGTACAGCAACAAAACAAGCTGCAGAGCAAATTACCCAATTTTGTAGCATGACTACATATTTGTATTCTTTTTTGGTACCGGGGATCGAACTCAGGACCTTGTGCTTGTAAGGCAGGTGCAGAGACACTGAGCTAAATCCCTGGCCCTCGTGTTTGTTTAAAAAAATGTGAGAAGCATTGTATGTGTGCTTAAGTACAGAATGCAAGAAGAGTTATTTCTTTGTTTTTCATAAAATTTTTTAAAAGTTACATTAACAACAGTTATTTTGTGTGTAGTCAGACTGGAGACTTCTATTTTATAAGGGTTTCTGTTTGAACTTGTATGTGATGGCTTTTAAAGTTAATAATATTGCATTACAACGTAAAGACAAACCCCTTTGAGAGCTGCTTGAAGTCATAAAGCCAGTCTGTGACAGACCTATCATTAGACTATTACTTGAGAAGAACATGCCATAACCTACCTTCTACAAACTGAAAAGTCTAAGCTGATGCTTTCCCCTGGGCCCAATATTGCACTTCCATGAACTGAAACTATAATTTTGCAAAATAGGTCTGAGTGATTAACACAAACAGCCAATTCCTCAAGTGTATAGGAAACTTCCAAAAAGCTGGACAAACAGGCCAGTAAAGTCATATAACTGAGTTGAAAGCATGCTCACATTACAGAAATGATTTATTTAACAATCTATAATAAAAATATTAATGGTAAAATATTCAAGGTCAGCCTATTGTTCAAATATAATTACACCAAAATTAGCTTATTTAAAAGAGGGAAAATACATTAGTCAAATTGCAAGTGCAATTTATTATTTTTTGTGCTTTTGTTTTGTGAGAGGGTCTTGCAATGTAGTTAAGCCTGGCCTTGAACTAATTGTGTGGCCCAAGTTAGCCTCAAACAGTGATCCTCCTGCCTCAGTCTCCTGAGTGCTGGGTAGAGATGTGTACCACTATACTGTGTTTGTTATTTATGTGCTTTTTTGACAAATACAAATATATATATCAGGCTGGACCCCATCTTTTTCCCACCTATTTTGTAAAATAGTTCATATGTGCACTATTTCATACTCATAAAAATTTTACTATAAAATTCTACTTGTCATTAAATTCTTTATAAATATGACTTTTTTCATTTCTTTTTGCTGTGTAAAGTATATGTAACATAGAATTTGCAATTATAACCATTTTAAGAGTACAATTTGGTAGTATTAAATGCATTCACACTGTACAACCATCATCACTAACTCCAAAATTATTTTTCATCTTCTAAAACTGAAACTATTTATCCACTAAACAGTAACTCCACATGTTTTCCTGTCCTAGCCTCAGGCAGCACCATTCTACTTCTGTCTCTATGATTTTGACTAAATACCCCTATGACTGGAGTCATGCAGTATTTATCTCTACATGTCTGCCTTATTTCACTTAGCATAAACGTCCTTGGGGTTCATTCATGTTGTATCATATATCAGAACTTCCTTCCTTTTTATGGCTGAATAACATTCCATTTTATGTATTTCATATTGTTTAACCTTTGATAGACACCTGAGTTACTTCTATCATACAGTATGCAATTTTTAATGATAGCATCATTTCCCACTGACTAGACAGATTCTATTTAAGTGTTCGCTTACTGTTGATATTGGGACTGTTTTCTTATTTTTATATTTTGAGAATATAATATTTTATACAAATATCTTTATGCCATTCTTCTGACAATTCACATTTTCATTTTGGTATTTTTTTCAGAAGTAAAATCTCTTCACTATAGACAGTAACAAACTGCAAGGGGAATAATCAACCTGTGGCCTACTTTTGTAAAAAAAGTTTTACTGAAACCCAGCCATGATCATTCATTTACATATTATCTATACATTTGATAAGGGTAGAGCAGCACTACATCTAAGTGAAAAAAGTAACTTGTAATAACACCTCTTATAAAACACTAAAATTTTTGCTCTAAAGTCTACCCTAGCATTGCTCAGGCAGTGTATTTCTGTACTGATCACTGAGTACTTGGGCAGGTGATGAATATTTTAAGATATACCATACACAGAAAAATTACTGAATAAATTTGATAAAAGTCATTTTTTATATTTCCTATTATAAATATTGACAAAAAATTCAATTTTTGGTTATTCTGTATTTAAATTGGACTGGTAAGTGGTTAAAGTATTATTTGTACCTAAAAATTGGACACAGATCTGGTACAGTGTTATAATATGAATGTGGTTTCACTTACTATTTTTTTCCATGCTCTTCTGCGTTCTTGAAAAGCCCAATTTTAATGGCTGCAGGACATACACATTCATAGCATGGGCATACTTTATCTATTCGTTTGTTGTTTAAGTTGTTCTGAATGTTTCACCATATCAAAAAATGTTTAAATCAAGAAAAGAATTATAGTAAGAGGTGCACTGCCAACAATGATGGGATGTGTTGAAAGTGAGGGGAAGCTTCTTAAGGGCAAATAATGGCAATGTGTCTTTTATGTAGTAAATATTTACTTATTTTTTTATTTATTTTTGGTTCTGAGGATTGAACTCAGGTCCTTGTGCTTGCCAGGCAGGCGGTGGAAACACTAAGTTAAATCCCTGGCCCTATGCAGTAAGTACTTATTTATTTATTTATTTTTGGTACTGGGGATCGAACTCAGGACCTTGCACTTACGAGGTAGGTGGCAGAACCACTGAGCTAAATCCCTAGCCCCTGTAGTAAATATTTAAATGGAAACATTCACCATAGTTTTTGGTCATACCAGGGTAATCCACCATTTTTTGCAATTTTTGTTAAATACAAACAGTGTGAAGTGTCCTCATCTCTCTTATTTAATGGATCTGAAACCATGCAACTTCTGGCTCTTCCTCAAGTCAAAATGACCATGAAGGATAAATGTTTTGAATCAATTCAGGGCAATCATGGAGGAATCCATGACAGAGGATGTAAACACAGTTATGAAAAAGGACTTCTAGAATTTTCAGAAGGAGGCAATAATGATGGGATAAGTGTGTTCAAAGTGAGGGGGAATATTCTGAGGAAGACGAATGGTAGTGTCTCTTTGACTATAGTAAATTAAAAAAGTTAACCATTTACTGTTATCTTGTGGCCATACCTTGTCTATAAAGTTTGCAAACTGCAATATAATCATTAGGTACTGCAAACATTAATAAAAACTAAAAATTGTTTTTCTTAAAACATTAAAAGTAACACTTATTGGATCGATGAATATAAATGTTTTTAAAAGCTACATTACTTTTTCTCAGAAAGGCTATACCATTTACACTCAATGAAACTTTTTTCTCACATTCTTTCTGTAAATAAAAACTGATACTTTCGGGCTGGGGATTTAGCTCAGAGGTTCTGTCACCTGCCTCACAAGTGCAAGAACCCGAGTTCAATACCCGGTACCATAAACAAACAAACAAAAAACCCAAAAATAATACTTTTTTTAAAAAATTGGCTTCCCCCCCAACTTGTTTTAGTTATTAGATTAACCAAACATGTTTGTTAGCCCCATAAAATTATTCTTTCATGAGTATTCTCTTCATCACTTGTTCATTTATATACTGAGATCCTAGGTTCCTCTTTCCAGTTTTTTTTTTTTTTTGCTAAGTTCTGTTATTTTGTAGTATTTTGTTTGTGCTCATTCTTTTGTTTGTTTCTGAAATATTGAAAAATTTTATGTGATCAGATCTCTAGCTGAGTGTCCTTTGTGTTTGCTTACATTGATTTTAGCTTTTAGGCATAAAAATATGCGATGACATGAAACAAAACCTACATGGTATAATATCAGTGTATCACAATATAACTTTTTCCTCCATGGTTCTTCCAACAAAATTCATACTAAAAGAATCTTAAATTATGGCCAGTACGTATTGGAAGTTGTCTTTTTTCTTAAAACTTTCTATTTTAACTTTAGCTCTTTAACATCTGTTATTTTTTGTCAAAATGTCAATCCAAAGGAAAAAGATTCTAGCATAAGTGTGGGACACAAAGTTTGAGAAATAAACTCAATTAAAAAAAAAATCTATTTAGAAGAAATAAAGGGTAAGAAAAAGAGCCCTGAAAGAGGGGAATCAAGATATACAAGTACTGGTTATACCCTTAGTCAAATAAATGCTTGATCTCTTCTGGCCTCCCTCATTACTGGAGTAAAACTATCTCTCCTCCCTGAGCCTTTGTCACATTATCATCACTTCTACATTCTTCATGAATTCTGAGGTAGTTACGACACTTAGAAGGCTGATGGAATGAAAATGGACTTGACCAGTCAGACCAGTAATTCTCAAGCTAGAGTCCCTTGGGAACATAGAGGAGGTGCCCTCACTACTTTCTGCAATAATTTAAAGATCTCATTTTACACTAAAACCAATAAAATAATTACAGAATATAAAGAAAACTCACACGAATTATGATAGTACTACAGATTTGAAAAAATTTTCATATGTCATTTTGGACTATAAATCAGATCCTTAAAGACTTTCGAGTTCATCTTATCATCAATAAGCAATGGAAAGTATGAGAAGCTGTAGCTTTTAATTAATAACTGTGTTAACAGCTACTGCACATCTTAATTAAAATGATTAATCTATTTACTTGGAATATGCTTATATTTTTCACAGGCAAAAGATCCTACAAAGAGGATTCTTTGTAAATATGAAATAAGTGAGGTTATACAATTTAAAACAGTATAGTTGAAAGTGATTTTGGAAAACAACTTTGCCTTCTATATAATTATTTGTAAGAGAACTACAGGCATTTCCTTCCATTATACAGTGCTTCAGCACCGCACCACTATCTGTTACACAGTGATGAAATCTACCTTGTGATAAGAATAGAATCATAAAACTTATAAGGCACTTGGCACAAAGCAATGACAGACAGTAGGTGCTTATTCTTTTGCCTCTGTAATCTGATTTTTATCATGACATGTGCATTTACTAGTGTCACCTTTCAACACTGTAAGTTCAACAATGTAGTAAAGTTTTAGGACAAAATATCCTCAGATGACCTTTAATATTCTTTATCCTTAATTTTAACAGGAAAGCCAAGATTCAATAATTAAATCATTTTAGAGCAACTTAGCAAGTAGATATTAAAATTAAAAAGTAATACTGGGTTAATGTTTAACTCCTTAAAAGGTACTAACCTGTTTTCTGAACTAGATGTAGAAGTACTAGATGATGACAATGTATGAGGATTTGACATGCGTGAAACAAACTTCTGGATGGTGTTACGAGATGGAGCTTTGATTCTTGAGCTGCGCCTACTGTGATATTTCTGGAACAAACTCTCAACCTAACATTGGAAAAAGACAGTAAGTGACATTTGTGTCATAATTATACATAAGAATTCTAGTGCTGCAATTATTTATGTTATATCTGCACGGTTTTCATAAAGCTGATTTAAGTGCTTCAAAAACAAGAACATATCAAAATTATCACTATTTATGTTTTGTGCTCATGAAAGATTTTTAGGAATGTACTATAAAAATTTAAAGCATTTATAAAAAAATTACCTCAAAGTTCTTTAAAGTTTTTCTCCATAACATTGGGTCTGAAGGTTCTAGTTGAAACACCCGAAGCATAACAAATAATAGATGAATACAAAATGTTCCACGGCCACAGCTGCAGTTCTGAAGAATTAAAAGAAAATCGTATGAGTTAATCTGTGGTTCTATTAGAACTTTTAACTTAATCACATTACTTCATATTCTTCATTCTCCTTACCTATAAAGTCTTTTCATGAATTAATTTTTTAAGGTCTTAAACCTCAAAATGCCTCAATTTTAATGCCTTAATCTTTTAAGGCATTAAACCTCAAAATACATTTAAAAAATGTTTACTAGCCCAAATATATTTTAAACTCACTTTATTTTTACTAAAGAAATTAGCTGATTTCAATTTAAAAGCCTTTATAGTATGTAAATTTATTTTAGTAACACCTATTAATATAACACAGTGATGAACCTTACCTGTGGCCCGATAAACACCCGATATTTATTGTCTGGGCTATCTCCTCCAATCAGGAAAGAGTTGGGTCCTATCTGCTGCAGTAAGTACAGCCGTGCCCGCATCACTTTGTTCACACGGCGGTTTGTTTCCTCAGGGCTGTATGGTGAGAAGCCATCTGGTGAAGGGGCTCTCCGGGGTGGTGTGATTCTGCCACTCTGAAACTTCATAACAGGTTTTTCATTTGGTAAGTTTCCTGCTTCTCCATAAGGAATAAATATCCAAAAAAAGTCATTGCAGACGACCATGAGACAGAGTATGCTAAAAAAAAATGCCTCACTTGGGGCCCAGGATTTAGCTTAGTGGCACCAAGCCTGTCTTGCAAGTGTAAGGTCCTGGAGTTCAATCCCAGTACCAAAAAAAAAAAAAAAAAAA